AAAGTATTTATATTTGTGTACAAGCTGTTTAGATTGTTAATATCCCTAAAAACACAGGCTTTTTGACAAAGTTTGTGTACTCAGACCAGTAATATTTGGGGTCACAAGTTTTTACCATGGATATTTTGTGGGTCAGAAGATAAAAAGTTTGGGAACCACTGCTTTAAACCATCAGATATCTTCACAARCATTTACAGGATAAAAGTATGCACCAAACAAATCAGACAAAATAATACATTTAATCCTTTGTTAGGACATGTGGTCTAATTTTACTGGAGTTGGAGTGATTTTGTTCAACATTCTGTGTTGTAAATAAATATAAACTAATGATTTTAGTAACTGTTGATCAATCCTGAGAAGTCCAGCTCAGTCTTYACAGCACAGCTGCTTCAAATCTGGGATTTTGGTGAATTTCTCAACATGAATTCCTCACTTCAGCRCTTTTATTGGACCGTGACTTTTAAGAAAACATAACAAAACACTCACTATGTTCTTTTTTTACRTTTTGTTAGAATAATGTGAGTGATTGGGGTTGTTGTTTTGCTGCCTGACCCACTTTATGCTTAGACTTTATGCACGCAACAAAAAATTGTAAGTCTCCTTTTTTTCTCTGTKTAATAGATGATGAAATGCTGTTTTGAAAATCATCTGACTGCTGTTTTCYTCACTGTATTAGATTATACAAAAAAGGGACTTTCAGTGTCAGAAATGTTTTTTTTCATCCAATCTAAATTTGGTTTGCCCTTTCGTGTTTTATTCTGCTAAAATAAAAGTAAAAGCAGTTTGATTGTCCACCGAGGAAAGAGTGGGGTAAGGAGGAAACATGAATCCAAGCTGAGCTGTGAGAAACAAGAGGGAGGTCGAGTTCCTGGCATTTCTGAGAGTCAGGTAACAAACATATGGACAAGGGAGGGAGCAAGACAGACAGATGGAAACCGGTTGGGGTGGAGAGAAGACGAGGTATGAAATACAAGCATCTTTGGATCTTGAAGGTTATGAAATTGAACTCTACCCACGCTTCATCTCACAGATGACTCCCTGTGCGGCCTTTCATGGGTTAAAGATTTTTACTGTTTTTTGTCGAAATCAGTTGAAAAGCTGCATTTGCATCAAACAGACCCATAAAAATCGACACATTCCAAACAAAGTTCCTTTGTCAACATAAATGAAATGAGAACGAGAGGAGCAGGACAGATAGGAAAAGATAAAACATTAAAAAGGCTTTGACGTTGAAGGGATTAGTGTGGTTTACTCTAAAGCATTCCAAGGCCTCTTAAGATTATTAACTTGCTTCCTTCCCCTCTTCATTTTTTTTCCTCTTTTCCACACAATCTTTTGATCGGGTTCTTAGAAAGTTGCGCAGGAGCAGCAGCCTATTACAGTAGCCGGCCACAGCCAGGTGGATGAGAGCCAGGACAAGGAGTACGATTAATGTAGGATGAAGGCTGCAACATCTGGAGAAAGGTCACAACTAAAGGTAAGCTGCGAGTTTTGATTTAATCTAGAAGTTCAGCTAAGATTTTTTTTTGTCATTCTTGAAGGTTCTATGGCCGTGTGTTTAATCTTACCAACAAAGCCGTCCCGTCCAACCAGCTTCAAGGCCAGCTTGTCTGCCAGCACTGAAGAGTTTCCATGGGCGATGTTGGCGAATGGCCCGGCGTGGACAAACACTGGAGTGCCCTGCAACAATCAGAGACACACAAACAAAATCAACAACGTTTTGTCGCATTTCAAGATAAACATTTAGGTTTGCGCGTACTTTGGCTGGCGTCGTGTTTGTTCAAACAGTAGGCGCAAGTTAGGAGGTACTTGACTGACATTTCCACCTGAATTTGTGACTGTTTACATTCTCCGCTGATGCAGAATGCTCCCTAAAGGCTGCAAATAAACACAAACTGAAATGACCACCTCAAGTGCCAAGTTCTCCATCAGCCAGTTAAAACGACAAGAAGTTTTATGTTAAACATGACTTGCCTTGGAGGAAAAAAAAAACAAACAAAACCTTGAAACAGCATAAAAAAGGCAAATGTAATTTTTTCTCTGTTGATAATAGCAGAGCTGTGGGATATTTTCTGGACTAAAACATTTGAATAATGGAGGGGAAAATACTGATAAAAGCATTTTTATTGTAAAAAAAAAAAAAAAGGAACTACCACATTCTTTAGGCCAGGGCTATTCCAATAAATTGCTCCGGGGGCCACAGTTACTGCCGGTTGACAGCTGAGGGGCCGAACATCCAGCAATTAAAGTTATTATGTAAATAAACCAAGTATTACAAACATGTGTTACCTTTGAATTGGTTTATTTTGCTGCATTTAATCATGATTACAACATACAGAACCCTATAAAAGTAGTGATAATTACACATTATCAAAAACAAAAACAACACATTATGCCTCCTATTAAGACACAAATAATATTTTGACATCTCTGACTTGCCAAATTTTTAAACCAATTTTATTTTCACTTTCATCATTTTATCATCAACTGCTTGTAGTTTTAACTGTCTTGAGTGTTTATAGAAATGGTTTTTACCAGCTTCTAGCCAAGATTCTGACGTTTCTGTAGATACCAAACATGTCTATAACTAAAAGAACTTAGAGTAATTAAAGTACAGAACCGGGGGTTTGGGCTTAAGAGATGAAAAAACCAATTGGCGGGCTGAACTTTGGTCACTCGCGGGCCGGATGTGACCCGTGGACCRCCAGTTGAGTAGCCCTGCTTTAGGCTCACACTAAAAAAATACTTAAGAAATCCTTTCAAACCTCAGAATAACATCTACTGTATCTGGAAGCTCAAAACCTGCTGTCACAAGAAAACCCATGAAAGAAAACAACTGCTAATAACAAACGATTGAATCTTCAAGATCAAAGAACTAATGCAATCATGTCTGACTCTTAAAAGACAACTACTTAGAAAACTCGATTTGAAAACAGCAGCTGACCCATTGTTTAACCCTGAATTCCTTAAGAGAGCGGAAAAAGGAAGGATGGGATGGCCTAATGTGATTTTCTAAACCTTTGTTTGCGTGCCTCTCTGTCCTCCTGCATAAACAGACTTCTCCTCAGAGGAGTAAATGAACTGTAAAACAAGCTGCCACTTGCCACTGTAGCTGTGAAAACCTGAGGTGTGAATCATGGCAGAGTCACAGGAGGAACATTCAAGGCCTAACAGTCCCTGAAAGAATGTAAGTCTGCTGCCTTTCAGGTCAGGGATCTGCCGAGGAATGACATTTAGGCCAAACCTTGTAAATAATGTTAGTCATGCAACACTTAAAGATGTCGCACTCTCATCTCTTACTGTTGTTGCTCAATATCTGCTGCAAACTAAGATCTTCTCTTATTATGAGCTACAATCATACTAAACTGAAGGTCAGCATCAGTCAAACTAATTAAATTATAAACACTGATTAGCTTCCCTTAGCAAAAAGTAGTATATACAAGAAGGCTTTATGTATACCAATTAAAAAAGTATACTTCCAGTTTACTTTTTTTGTACTTTTCTGAGATATACTTAACCAAGTTTATCTTACACTATACTGTACTTGGCTTGTACTAAAAATATACAAGTTCAAGTATACTTAATCTATACTAATGTTTAAACATTTGGCCAAGATAAACTTTAGTAGTACGCTGAAAGTACATTTTCACACAGACTGGTTTATCTGTAGTATATTTGATTTGATTTGATTTATTTAACAGGAAAAGATTAATAAAAATCAAGCCTGACTCAGCATAATTGCTGTTTTACAGCAGGWTCCTGTTCTGCAGCACATAAACACAGAATTACAGCATCACAATCACATCAGTATTATTACAACAGACACAAAAACAAACAAGCATACCAAATTTAAAAAAGGCAGCATTTGCAAAATAGGAYGTCTAAATATGAGCACAACAAAAAGTGTCCAGCAGATGGCAGACAAGATTCTTCTTAAAGGGCTGTAGTTTTGAAATGGACTTTATGTTTTGAGGAATGTCATTCCATGCTTTAGTATAAACATAGAAGAAAGACCTCTGGCCGTAACAGTTTTTAAAAGTTGGTAATATCAGTTGTCCTTTTGTAACAGATCTAGTTGAATGACCACTTCCAGAATTTGATTTGGGCAGCAATGCACAGAGAGTTCCATAATTGGCACCTTGGAAGATCTGAAAATATAAGTTAATACCACTATACAAAACAAAATTCTGAAAAGTCAAGGCATCAGACAATGAAAGAACTGTACAGTGATGAGTCAAGATTTCAAGATTAAACTAAAAGTATACTTAGAAAATTACTTTCAGTATATTTCTGAGGGTACTTTCAAAAACTTATTGTGGGCCAATTTAGTCCTAGAAATATACTTGTTAGTAAACTGCTAGTATACGTCAGTGTAAATAAAAGTACATTTAGGGAAATACACTTTTATATACTTTGGTGTATTTAATGACATGTACTTAAAGTATACTTTATAAACTTAAAAATACATAAAAGTATTCTTTTTACATAAAAAGTTCCAATTTAGTACAAAGTATTATATTTATATACTTTCTAGTACACTACAAGTACATGGTGCCTAGTATACTTGATATACTTAAACTTATACTCAAGTATACTTGTTAAAATGAACTTCAAGTATACTATTCTTTGCTAAGGGTTTCTGTTGATTTCACTAAAATTCGTCCAGTCTTGAGATGGCTTGGTAACTGACACAAAAACAAACTGATTTGAGTAAAATATAATTATTCCTTTCACRTTTTGGTAGTGGGTGAGAAAAAAAGAGGGAACTTCAAAAAGCGAAAGAAATTAGGAAGATAAAATGACAAGAAACCCCTCTTTTTATACCAACATTCACTCAGTAACTTGTTTTCTCTTCGATCAAATGGAAACTTGACAKACGCTGACTTCCATCCCAAGAACCTTTAACTTTTTGATCATTTTCACTCTTTCCACCTCTCCATGTAGGAAATAGAAGCTATTCAGGAGATTCATCAGGACCAACAGGGTTATGGAAAAGGAAACAAATGAAAGGTGCTGTGTCACGTCTCCAAGAGGAGAATGGAGTGGAGATCTTGTCAAATGAGTATGCTGCAGTCATATTTCTAGCTGTTATGTGAGGCAGCACAAGGATTTAACCCTGACAGCTGCTGTAGTGTCTTTGCCCAGGAAAGACACATTTAGCTGTTTTCTGAAACCCCGTGGAGAGAGGAAGTTTGAAAACTCCACAGAAAGCCCGGGGGTCTGCTAAACTAACACGCACACAGGTAATAAGCTGAAAAACAATCCTCTTTCTTCTTCTGTCGTGTTTCCTTGAAAATCCATCTGAAACAGCTGAAGAGACAAAAAGTCGATGCCAGCTTTATTCTCACGAGTGCATCTGTGTTCGCCACCGTCCCAGGTCAAGAGGGCACGGGCGGTCAAACCTGACGGAAAATTCTCACGAAACATCTGAGGTCCGATTGGTCTCGATACCAGCTCCATGACCAGAATCACAGGAAACCCACAGAGGAAACTGCTTCACACAACAGAACTGCACCACTTCCTCCAAAACCAGAAACAACACAAAGTAACCAAACCGCTGCATACACAACTCCAACCCATCCCAGAGAACACAAAAACTGCCACAGCCTGTGTTTATTTTCTCCACCTAGTCGACGTAATCAGGTTTTCTGTTCAGAACAAACAAGTGCTAAACAGCAGTAAGATAACAAAAGAGAAACATAAAGTTAGCGAACGCAGGACTGCTAACAATGTAGCCATTGTAAACATTCATTTTTAAAATCTGAAGAAAAACACACAAAAAGCTTCAACACATTCTAATGCTACGTTCACACCAAACGCGTTTTGAGCGGCCAAAAAGCGCAAAACGTCTCTCACTGGACGCTCTATAGAACGCACTAGTGTTCAGACCAGAACAAGCAGCGGCAGCAGCGACGTGTGGGAGGAGCGTGGCCTCGGCGGGTGAAATGAAGATAAAGTAAAAGAAAATGGCTTTAATTTTTTTACTAAAAAGCAAGCGAACGTTGCGCACAGCAGATAATTAACTCACCAGATGATTTAGAGGCGATTTGTTCGGTTAGTTTCATCACTCCAGAAGCTGCCAGCTGACGGACTTTTTTTTTTTTTTTTTTTTTTTTTTTTTTTTTTTTTTTTTGGTCCCGAGCAGCTGATCCACATCGG